GAGAGAGAGAGAGAGCCCCACCTCTCCATCAAAAGCAAAAAAAAACAGATTACCAACAATGGGCTCTAACTTTAAACTTTGAAGCTATGGTGGTCACAAGGCGAAAGCAAAAACTAGAAAGTAAAAGGCAATGGGCTTGCACAAACTTACTGGTACACAAATCTCAGGTGTGAGAGTAGGGCAACTCTCCCCATCCTCCCATGACCCATTACTGTTATTTCTTGCACTCTCAGCCATTGCCATTGAAGGAGAAGAAGAAGTAACCATTTCAAAGTTACCCACTGTTTGTTCACCTGAAAATTGATCATTTGAGAAGTCCAGGAGGTCATCTATGTGAAAGAAATCAGGAGAGGGAAGACCATACAGAAATGGGGCTTCCATTTCCATACAAAATCTTGCCTTTCTCTAGAGAGAGAGAGAGAGTTGCAGCTGAAATACAGCGAGGTATCCAAGAGAGAGAGAGAGTTGCAGCTGAAATACAGCGAGGTATCCAAGAGAGAGAGAGAGGTTATCAGTGAGGAAGAGAGAGAGAAGAAAAGAGGAAGGGGGTCAGAGGCTTTACAACGAGAGAGAGAGAGAGGGGAGGGGGGGGGGGTATATGATGGAGTAAATGCGAGAGGCCACACGTGGAACGCTGTTGAGAGTAAGAGAGAGAAAGTAAAGAGAGAGAAAGTAAAGGGTGGTATTTTACGCGTGAGAGTTGGAAATCACAACTAGAGAGTAGAGTCACAGTTATTTAGCGCGTGGCGATGGGAAAATACAAGAGAGAGAGAGAGATTGTGTGTATTATTTAGAGAGAGAATGTGTTATTTAGAGCGTGTGTGGGAGAGAGAATATGTGTGTTATTTAGAGCGTGTTGGGAGAGTGTGTGTATTACGTAGAGCGTGTTGGGGTGACTTCCAACCATAGAGAGAGGGAGAGAATTTGTGTGTGTGTGTATGTGAGAGGGAGACTCAGCATTAATAAGAGAGAGAATGGACAGGGCAGCATTATGAGGGATAGGGCTATTGAAATGGATGAAGTTTATGTAAGGCTTCGGCATTATGAAAACAAAATAAAGCTTTACCTCAAATCCTCGGGAAAGCACTATTAGCAATGGAAATCTCTATTATGGCTTTAAATTCACTTTTTGAGGATAAAATTTGAAATTTAAAAAATATTACAGATCTTGTGGATATATGTGAACAAACACTTTTAAGGCGAAATGGATGATTTAGATAATTTGTTACAATATGTACTATTTTTAGAGCTTGAATCCCTATTTTTTTTTACCACCATAATGTTAAGCAAAGCAAAGATGATTCATGTAAATATTTTTCAATGCTCGAGTTGCAATTTTGGATGAGTTACGAGAAGAGGCTTTACTTGTTGAGGGTGGGGTGATATCTAAGCATTTTAGAGAGAGCTTAAGAAGAAAGCGACCAATGAAAGAGAGACAGTTCCTTGCCAAAAGACAGCATTTAGAGTGAGAAGTGTTAGACTAAGGAGCGAGAGAGAAAGAGAGAGGTGTCATAAAAATAGAAGAATTAAGAAGGTAGAGTAATGCTATCAAATTCGTTTTATTTGGGCCGAAGAGGTTTTAGGTATAAACTAAAGAGAAGCGAAGCCTAGTGTTGCTGTTTCCGTCAAATTTAGACTGTTTTGGATATGCTTCAGTCGGCAAATAAATAATTATATAAATGAATCTTTTTATTTTAATTTTTTTCATTGTTTGTATATATTATATATATAAATATTTAATTTATTTATATTAAATTAAAAAAAATCTAAAGTCTTTTCTAAATTGATCAAAATATCAAATTGCTTCATTTTTTTCACCAAAATGAAAAAGACTCCAAAAGTAAAAATTGAAAAATTAAGAAGGTATATATATAGAGAGAGAGGGGTATTAAAAATTGAAGAATTAGGAAGGTATATATAGAGAGAGAGAGGGGTATTAAAAATGGAAGAATTGAGAAGGTAGGAGGTGGATATAGACTAAGGAACGTGCAAGGGGTGCCATGCACCGATTTATGTGAATAAAAAAAAGGTATAAAGAAATGTGTGCGGTGCATTTCACCTCTTCACGAAAAATATACTTATTCTACCATTCATGTAACATGGCGACGTAAATAATAAAATTATAAAAAATCACTAAAATGAGTAAAAAGATAAAAAGATGTATTTTTTAATTATATTTGATCTGCCACGTCAGAACCCCTCGGGATGCTTCTTTTCGTACTCGCGTTCGCGGAATTAAAGCCTCGGTCTTTCTTTTCCTTTTTATTTTTTTATTTTTTTTGCCTCCCTCAATTTTGATTTTATATTGGGTTTTGTTATGCCACGCTACTACTTTCGTATTCCTCGATATTTTTTTGACACTTAAATACCTTTGGAATATAAAATTTTTTAGGTAGTAATATGTTATTAGTAGTTAAAAAACAATGAATGCATTTTACGTAAATGATATCCTGCATTACGTATATGATGTCATTATCCATTATTGCTAATAAATACTTTTGTTTCTATTTGAATTTTCTAATTTATTATTGACTAATTAGTTAAAGGAAAAAGTTTATATAAGGTTGCGACCTTATAATGTAGAGTTACATATGCATGTCAAAAATCCATCGGAAAAGGTAGTTTTAATTTTGAAAAACCCTTTAATTGATCATCTCAATATCGATATGTATGACCATGAAAAATAAAAAGATTTTAAGTCTCAAAAATAGTGCATATTACAATATATTATCTATACCGCCCATTTTCAAGATTTTCATATGTTTATAGATCTATTTGATTTTAACCATTTTTTAAATTTAAAAATTTATAATTAGATATAAAAATATAAT